TTGCTGGCCCCCCCCAAGTGGCGGAACGCCAGGGCCCGGTCGCAATTGCGACCGCTGCGACCCTGGTAGTTCCGCCAGTGGTTGTGACATTAGTCTGACAAACCCTAGCTAATCATGCTGCAGTCATCTTAAGGGATCTGCTCAATGTGGCAGTTGGTTATCGAAGGTTTGGAGTTCCATGCATGCAGCTTTGTTCTACAGTGAATATGAGACGGATTCTTCGTTAAAGGAGAACTATGGGGTCCCATCACCCTAAGCTCAGTATACCGCGAGCTACAGCTTGCGGTGTACTAAGACGCCGCAGCTGAAACGGATCCCGACAATTATGTCTGGATCCGCCCAGCTATCCAGAGGCCTATCTAGGGGCTGTACCCGCACCCTCCCCCGTCCGTTCCGCCAGTCAGTGCTGGAGTATCGGGGAGGGGGGAATCCAGTCCCTCCCCCGTCACGGCTCTCTGCCGTGACAGGATCGAGAAGTGAGCGAACGCCAGTATGTGTTCGCTCACTTCCCCATCTACTGAGCCGACCTTTGACAGTTTCATTGTCACAGGTTGGCTAGAACTATGAGGATGAGTGAAAATCACTCACCTCATAGTTCTCCTTTTGAAGTGTTGGGGTGTGGAATCGGCATGTAAAAAGTGTTTGCTCCGCAACCCCTAAGAGGGACTATGCTGGTTCAGTGCCTCCCTGGACACCCTCATCAATCATTTTACCAGGGGGCAAAAGTACCCATATGAAGCCTAGGGAGAAGAAGCCTAGGGCTCAGTCTGGGAAGGCTACCTCCTCCTTGGCGGCCAAAAAGAGTTCATTTTGTAACTCCCAGTCCTCAATCTCCAAAGCCAAGCCCAAACCTGGCCCTCTGTCTAATTTTGGACTTCCAATTCCCCCCACCCCAAACCGTAAGATCAATCTTCTTCAGCAATACCTAGATGCAGGAAGTGATTTCCATGGGCTGAAACTATAATTTTATCTCCTGCCCCTTCCTCAGTTCATTTGCTCCAACCTGCTTGTGGCACAGATTAACAGATCTCCATGCAGCCCTAGTGCATCTTCTGGAACATGGTTTCATTGCCCTAGTCTCAAACCCAAACAAGGCATTTAGCAGTTCTTGGATCCCAATGTCTTCAATGTCCTTATTCAAGTTCAGAAACTCTGTATGGAATCCACCAGTTCTGTCATAGCCTCTCTTAATCAAGGAGACTTTCTGAGCTTAGTGTGCATCAAGGATATGTACCTGCATATACTGAATTTTCTAGTGCATATGAAATTCCTTCACTTTGCTGTGGGTCACCAGCACTATCAAGTTCGTGTCCCTGCCTTTAAGCCCATCTTCTGTAGCTTGAGCATTCACCAAGATGTTGGCTCCTGTGCTAGCATTAGCCCATGGCAACCCCATCGTGAAATAGCTAAACTGCGTCCTGTTTAGGGAAAAGTCAGCACAGGTTCTAGCAGGCAACATAGCCCAGACCAGGCAATTTTGCCACCTTGCAAAAATTTAGCTGGGTTCTGAACCTTGAGAAATCAGCGCTGGAGCCAAGTTGCTTGAAATATCTGGTTCTCATTTTATCCTAGGCACAAAGATCAGATTACAACATACGCCAGCCTTTCAGCCTGTGGAGGAGTTCTGGGCACCTTGTCAGCGCATGGTGCTAGGACCATGCCTAGGACTTCCTTCCTACCTTTTAAATCGTCCAGGATATTGTTCTTTCATCCCTTTTTTGTTCAGCTCCAGTCCATCAGAATGAGATTTCCCTCTATTGTCTATAGATGTAGTTTGAGTTTTGCAGGTTTACCTTGCAGGCACTGTGTCCATTCGTAAGACTGACTTTGTAACTTTCACATTTCTGATGGTCCCGGTAATGAGGAACGTGCTTCTCGTTCCATCATTTCTCAGTGGCTTAGACAGTCATCCATCTTATGGTCTCAAGGACTGGGTTCCACACTTTCCTGTTAAGGGGCACTCTACTAGATTTGTTAAGGTTTTGGGGCTTTTAGGCATCAGGCAACTGTTTCCCAGATGTGTAAGGCTGTCACCTGGTCTTCTGTTTTCATGCTCTACCTGGTGGATGTTCAGGCCTCTTCTGAAGCAAGCTTTGGGTGTAAGGTCCTTTCAGGCAGCTCTTTAAGCTGCAGGCACTCCCCAGTTCTGTTTTTTAGGGGTTTGGTAGTGTTTTGTTACTGTTGCCCATCCCTCAGTTGGACTGCTTTGACATCCCGACAGTTTCTGCATTGCCGTGTCGCTTAATGAATGAGACCAAAAATAAGATTTTTGTACTTTGCATAAAATGTTTTTCTTGGAAGGACATGAGTCCAGCTCTCTGTGATTTTGCTCTTAGTACTGCTTTGTCACACAAGTTTGGCATGCTGGGGATAGAAGGGGTCATACTGGCCGGTGTCTGAAATCTTGCGTCCCTCATTGGATGCCACAAAAAAAAAATAATGTAAATGATGTACTTAACATTTTTTATTAGATATATAGCTATAGATATAGATATATTAAAAAAAAATTTGGATATATTTTGATAATTTAATTTGACATTCTGAAGTGCTGTAACATTTGGTTTGTATGCCCTTAGTTTCTAATTTTTTTTTTTTTTAACAAACATTTTAATCAAAATTATCATAATTTGAGGGTAATTTTTAATCAAATTAAACAAAAAAGCAAGTATGTGTTGCACCATAAAAAAGTAACCATAACCAACATGCATGTCAGCCTGTCTGGATAACCGAACCCATTCATGTACTGTATATTTAAGCATTATTATATTTCAACCAAACTTTTTTCAGATATGTTCTGGAAGATTCAAGCCCATACCATCGGTCCTCTAGGCATTCATCTACAAAGGAAAATTCTAACCAGAAGAAAGGGATGAGCTATGAATCGCTTATGGGAGAATTGGATTATCAAGTCAATAATTTACTAAGGCTACAGGAGTCCTTAGTTGTAAAGGAGAATGTGCCAGACCAACAACTGAGCTTCAAGGAGCTATCCACCCGTTACAGCGGTAATATTATTAAATACAATAGGGTCTCTACAATTTCCATGAAGTACTAATGGGCCACGAACATACAAATTGCTTTATATAGTGTAATAATGCTAGCATTTAATATTTATTTCCCCCCTATGTTTCAAACATTTTGCCAAAATATTTTTTTTAAAGCCGTAGTATGGCCACAAATATGCCATAGTGCTGCTTTGGAACATGGACCTTATGTTTCTAAGTATGGGGGCAAAGAGATGACTAAATAAATGGTATCATTATTTTAGGTCTTCCTAAACATGCATTTAATATTTATTAAGACATATGTAGACTGCTGACATCTGACTTCAATACTCCTGAGTCACAGACCCAGAACATGCAGCACATGAAAATCAGAGGTCAAAATTCTTTATCTTGATCGAAGTCATTGACTCAGAACAGAACTGAAGCCAAAAGCATCAACATGACAGTCTGGAAACTAGTATTTTAAAAGTATCTCATTGCAGTTAATTTTTTTTTTAAACGGGTAAGAAATTGAAAACAAATACGTTTTCCATTACCGTGTTCACCAGCACAGAAAGGGAAGCTTAAGTATTTTCAATACGGGCACATGAATGTAGGGAAAGTGTTAGCTTGGCTATATTATTGTTCTCTGCGCCCTTGTTGATTAAACAAGTGACTAAACTGGTCACTAGGGAAAGTGGTCAGTGAGTCGTTAAGTGAGGGTAAATCTCCCTAATGTGACCCCCCAACAACAAGAAAAACCTCCAATATAACTGGATTTTAAGATCTACTCATTTTGCCAAAAGTGGTCTGCATTATCACAATACAAATCTATAGTTTACAGTAATAAGCATTGTGATTTGGTTACTAAAAACCTGCATACATCATTGACAAATGTTTGCAGACTGGACGATCCACTGTCTTCGTGGATTACAAAATGCACATAGATTTCCATGGTGTGCATAACTAATCTCTCAAGGTTTTATCTGTTAAAACGTATTAAATACCCAACACATGTGGGTAAGAGGGGATATATATTTTGTTTAAGTGTGAACATCCCAGCATTAAATGGGTTGTTATGTTATTGCCCTGATTAAGTTGGGTGTTTTTTTTTTTATAAATTCTTTATTAACGTACACTCACTGGCCGCTTTATTAGGTACACCTCTTCAACTGCTTGTTAACACAAATATCTAATCAGCCAATCGCATGGCAGTAACTCAATACATTTAGGCATGGTCAAGATGGTCTGCTGAAGTTCAAACTGAGCATCAGAATGGGGAAGAAAGGTGATTTAAGTGACTTTGAATGGTTGTTGGTGCCAGGTGGGCTGGTTTGAGTATTTCAGCAACTGCTGATCTACTGGGATTTCCATACACAACCATCTCTAGGGTTTACAGAGAATAGTCTGAAAAAGAGAAAATATCCTGTGAGCGACAGCGCTCTGGACAAGAATACCTTGTTGACGCCAGAGGTCAGAGGAAAATGGCCAGACTGGTTTAAGCTGATGGAAAGGCAACAATAACTCAAATAACCACTAGTTGGATCTGAGGTATGCAGGAGAGCATCTCTAAACAAACAACACATTGAACCTTGAAGCAGATGGGCTACAGCCACAAAAGACCACACCAGGTGCCACTCCTGTCAGCTAAGAGCAGGAAACTGAGGCTACAGTTTACAAGGGCTCACCAAAATGGTAAAATAGAAGATTTGAAAAACGTTGCCTGGTCTGATGAGTCTCGATTTTCCGATTTTTCCGTTGCGACATTCAGGTGGTCGGGTCAGAATTTGATGTAACGGTTCAGGCTGGTGGTGCTTCGCATCATGGATGTGCAGCCGACAAATCTGCAGCAACTGTGTGATGCTATCATGTCAGTATGGAACTCTCTAAGGAATGTTTCCATCACCTTGTTGAATCAATGCCACGATGAATTAAAGCAGTTCTGAAGACCAAAGGGGTCCAACCTAGTACTAGCAAGGTGTACATAATAATAATAATAAAGTGGCCAGAGAGTGTATTGTCCAAATTATGAGAAAATAACGTTTCGTTTGATGAAACAAATTATTATGCGGTTTCTTAATCCAAAAACGCACATTAAAAAAACAAAATATGCGGTGGCCATATTGCCCACTGGCTTGTTCTGCATAAGGGCGCCACCATCTTGGGGGCGGGGTGTATGACATCACATGACACAGGTGTCGGGTAAGGTCACACGCATTTATGGGCGCCACCATCTTGGATGCAGTAAGATAGCGGTGCCCATACAAAATGAATTTCTATATGCCCAAATATATATTGAGAAAGTGCAAGGTAAGCAAGAAAAACGGTAACGGAAGAAAGAGCGAAGAAGAAAAAGAGAAAGGAAAGAACAAAAAAAAGGGGGGAGGAGGGTGATGAGGATGAGGGGGAAGGGATACAGGTCTTTAGGAGTCCATAAGCCTGCAATATTCCTGTGTGGTAGAAAAATCAATCCAATAAAATCATGTGGAGGTAAACTTATCTGACGTACCTTTTGCAAGAGCTGCTGAGATCATACATAAACAGCACAATCCCCCTAGCATAGAAAATCCCATAAATGGAGCTATCCAATGAGCAAGTAACCCAATAGTATATCAAAAATATTTTAATTAAACATTGAGAAGGTAGAAAGATAAATCACCTAATACATGACATGTAAAAATCATTTAAAAAGACACGGCTTCCCTTGGATGGCCCAAGTGTAGGACAGGGCAATCAGGGTTAATCTGCCAGCAGGATGACAGGCAGTCACTGGTATGAGTGAATACACTGTATTGGAACAGTGGATACAATTGTATCAATATGTAACAGGATTACTCACTTCATCTGTGGCCACAAAATGAAAGTCCATCTGAGATTCCGTAATAGATGTCAAGATGATATCTCAATGGAAGATATTCCTGCGATAATTTGTAATCCCCAGTGGTTTTAATAATTTTGAAGATCGCACGGCTTCTCTCCTTATTAGTCCGGAACAGCATCACCCAAAAGGCTACATATATTTCCTCGCATATGGCGATAGCCCGAGGGTTTCCCCCGCAGGTGCGGCCGCACGGTGAAGCAGGGACGGACAAAGTTCCAGGGGCAATGTGTCCAGTGAAGCACCGGATCGGGAGCCTGACTGTTGTTGAAAAGGTGTACACAAGTCGGCTCCACTCAATCCAGGTTAAAAGCCGATAGTCCGTGCTGCTGCTGTGCTGTATAAGCGGGCCTCGCTCAATACGATCAGTATAGCATAGGCTCATTAACCCGACAGGTGCAATAAGCAAAATAGCAGTAAGTCCTGGGTCTCCAGGGAATCTGGTAACATGCTGTCCCTAACGCGTTTCCCCCAGCAAATGGGGCTTCCTCAGAGGGGCGTGTGGCATTCATCAAGTACAGGTGGTTTAAATAGCTCCTTTTAATAACAGCTTGATAAGATCCAGGTTTTTCTTGATGTGATCCTCGAGCCGCTGCTCAATACTGGCTCTTTGAACAAATATTTGTGACAGTACAGGTCTTTCATCAATAGTTATGTCTATCTAGACCTAAAAAATCGGACATACGGCAATATATAAGTCAAAAAACAGTGTTGGTTCTGACCAGGTTCGTTAGTGCACCGCTCAAAAGACAAAGTGCAGTAACGAACACACAGAAGAAACATTAAAGGAGCACTCTGGCTGGCAAAACCGCCCCAGAACACAAAAAAATAATAAGAACTAATGAAAAACGCAGAACACATTGTTCTGACAAAGATCATTGGTACCCTGCTACAAGAACAGAGTACAATTATGAGTATAAAAAATACATTTATAGAGAGGGGGGGCGGGCACACCAGCCAGAGAAATTGCCCCAAGGTCAGTACAGACATTATATTCAGTACAAACACATATACAAAAGAACGCCTATACAAGAAATAAAGTAATGTGAAAGTATGAAAATCTAAATCAACATTTAGCCTATTGTCCGATCAATTAAATCATAGCTATAACTAGAGTCTAGATCCTGGCATTGTGAGTACATGATTTTAAGAAGAAGCATTATGTTTGACAGGTCAGAGGTAGCAACTAGGGTTGCACAGATACCAAGTACAGTACTCGGTACGAGTACATGTACCGATACTTTTGAGCTCCAAGACTACACTAGAGACAAATTCAAAAATTACAAGTACGAGTACTGATACATTTTTGTTTATTGTCATGTGACAGTTTTTCTAAAACAATACAGACTAATGATTTCAGGACAGTGGTGGAGTGCCATAGCCAGGTCCCAGTTGCAACCGCTGCAACCCTGGTAGTTCTCATGAAAATGCCAGGTATCTGCACTGGTACTCGAAAAGTATCTATCTGTGCATCCCTAGTAGCAACTGAAGTTAATAGTGTCATTTAGCCCGGGTGCTTCATAGGACTCTGTCTGGTGTATCCACCTGCATTCTCTTTGTAGAAGATGTTTGTCCCAACCCCCCCACGTCTATGTTTATGAACTCTATCCAGTACAAAGAAGTGCCATTTGTCGGTTTGTCCAAAGTTTCTTACTATAGGTGATCTTAAATCTCAGGCTGCTATGTCAGCTATATGATCCGAGATCCGGTTTTAAGCATACGTTTTGTTTTGCCGACGTAAAACATATCACATTTGCAACATCACATAAATCACTCCCTTTGTCTCACAGTTCGCAAAATGGCGAGCCCTAAATGGTTTCCCTCGAGGGGTGATTATTTCCGTTCCCGTTTGGACAAACCGACAAAATTTGCACCTCTGGCACTGGTAGGTGCCCTGGTACTTGCAACAAGTCTCACTTATTGACAAATTCACTGTTTGTGAGCCTGTCTTTTAGAGAGTGGCAGCGACGGTAGGTGATGGTGGGTTTTTTACAAAGTAACTTTGAAATTCTGGAGTCCTTGGTCAGGCAGTGCCAGTGTTTTTCAAGTATCCTCGATATTTTGTTGTGTTTGTTGTTGTAGGTTAGGACTAATCTGACCAAAGGGTACCTTTAGCAAGAGCTGCTGAGATCCTCCATGTACCCACTTTCATTAACTTAATAGTGGGAGATATCGATTGTTTCCAAAAAGAGGGAATACGTGCCCAGGCCACATTGACTAATTGAATGATAACCAACCACTTATAACGTTTAAGGGATATTTGCATTATTTTGGCGCGACCTGTCCTGACCTGTCCTCCAGGTCTGCCACTTTAGATTTGAGCCATCCCACTTCATCTCTGGTATGTTCTTGTGAGTCGATCAGGTCATTGATCGTATTCGCAAATGCGCCCATTTTTCACTCCACATGGTCCACCATGCCCCCTATGGCCGAAACATCTGTGCGGAGGTCTTGGACCAGGGCGACCATATCCATATGTATGGCACTGCGAAGTGATATGAGCATTTCCTTTTAGGGTTGAATCGAGTACCGGCTGATTTAGAGGTAGGAAAGCCATTAATCGATCCATTCAGTTCCCTAGTATCATCTAGAGACGTAATAAGCTGTCTCACCTCTGTTGCGGAGCTGCGGTCATCATCAATGCAAGGCTTGGATTTAGCAGGACTCCCATTAGGGGTAGATGCCTGAGAAGAGGGGTCTGTAGTGTCGTGGGACGATTGTGCTGGCGGAGCCCCAGACTCAGGAGAGGCATCACTGAGCAGCTCTCTGCCGCGGGAGGGGAGAGCAGGTGGAGATGTAACTGGAGAGGGAGACGGGCTGCCGCCATCTTTGGCCCGTCTCGCGGCCGAGGAGGTGAAGAAGGCAGTCGGCTTCTTCGGCCGTCTCTGCTCTTTTTGCGGGACATGATTCCGGGTGCTAAGATGAGGTCAGTACAACCGATATCCCGCTCTCCCGCCGCCCCTACGATGTGCTATGAGTTCCGGTTAGCTCGGGTAGACGGAGCTCACAGATTATCCGCATTTTCCAACAAAAGGAAAAGTAAGTCTGTGTAGAGTGTGGGGGGTAGTAAGGTTTATAGCTTCAGATTTTTGATTTCTGTGGAAATTAGACAGGTCACCATATTCTTTAAATGTGCCAAGAAGGTTTGGGACTGAGATGTCAGAAAGAACTGTAAATCATCATCGTAAGCTGCGACTTTATGATGGTGGCGGCCCACTAACAAGCAAATGTTTGGATTGGCTCGGATAGAACATAGGAAGTTGGGTGTTTTTGGTATAGATGCTATTATGCTTAGACTATACTTTTGGATGATGCTAGTTTTTTAAATAATGTGTGAAGGAGGAGGAGGTTATTTTTACTATTCACAGAATTTTGACAAGTTGGTGCTCAGAGCATTGTGACTTATTGCCTTCATTAAAGTTACCCAAAGATTCTTCCAAATGTATTTATTTCTTTTTTTCCCTGTAGCTTCTGGTGCCTAAAGATTGTGAAAACTCTTTTTAAATGAATGTCGTTTTGTACGTGATCTTTTCATTGCATCCCATATACTAGTGCAGGGGCACCCACAATTTTTCGTCTGCAGATCTACTTTTCAAATGACGAGCTCAATGACATCTACCAACGAAAAAATGCCTGCATTCAGGGGTGGGAGGGGGCGTGGCAGTGCATTGAATTCAATGGCACCACAGCCACAAACCCCCGCCTGCAATCCGATCGGCCGGAATGCATGCAAGCACTATTTTTGCAGATTGCATTGGACTTGAACGCAGGCGCTAATGTGCCTGCGTTTTGGGTGCGGGCAATTGCACTGTGGGTGGCGGCGTGGCTGCGGTGCCGTTGACTTCAATACAACCCCACGCCCCCTCCCGCCCCTGAATGCCGGCCGACATGCGCTCCAGTGCGTTCTAGAGGCCGAACACTCTGGAACGCAGACTTTATGGTGTGAACCAGCCCTCTCTTGGCTGTCTCTTCTCTCTCTCCTCGCGCTCCTCTTCCTACTCGCTCTCCTGTTTCTCTCGCGCTCTCTCTCTCTGCTGTCTCTCTGCTGTCTCTCTTCTCTCACTTTCTCTGCTGTCTCTCTTCTCTCACTTTCTCTGCTGTCTCTCCCCTGTCTGTCTTTTCTTACCTCCACTGCAGCAGCTTCCCAGGTCTCCTTTCGTGTGCCGGCTTCCTGTCCTCCCGCGGTGCTCATGTGGCAGACGTTGCACACGGGGAGAGGTGTCCTGCCCCCTTCCCGTTTCGCCATCTGACATATTCGCCCAGCAGCCGCACGAGCACCACGGGAGGACAGGACACAGCCGATCGCCATCTACCAGTGTTTGCTTTGCGATCGACCTAATGGGCACCCCTGTACTAGTGATACCTTTTGGCCAGACTATAATTACTTTTGTTGTATCAATAAATGTAGTTTTATTCTCTCCAGATCCTTACTCCGTTTAATTGAACTTGTTCTCACCTATAATTAACAAAAAAAATGACCAGAAGTCCTATCCCAGTTTTGGCTGGAATTACACTTTAATATTTTGCTTAATAATTTAGTAGGCTATACATTTACGCAGTAATGTAATTCAGCTGTTTGGGAATTTTAGATGCCTTCATTAAAGGTGAACAATGTTTAACTGTTTGTCAAACCATGCATTTATCTCCATTTTCATCACAGGTATAAGCAAACCTGTTATTAAAACACTTTCTAACATGGATTTGGATAAAATTAATCTTGAACTGATTGAAGCTTTGTTGGAATGGATAGTTAATGGAGATCACTCATTCCCACCAGGTTGGTAAATCTCAATCAGCAGTTAAACTGAGACTTCCCAGTCACACCTACACATGGGGATACCAACCTTTTAACCACTAGGATTCAGTTTGCCATTCTACAGATAGTGTTGTGAGCCATGCATTGCTGTTGTCAGTTGCCTAATAAATATATGTGCTATATTCATAACGCCTTACAAATTCTGAGGTTACAGCTATACATTATTGTAAAAGTAAAATGAAAGGTCAGGTATTATTACCAATCTTAATCTAGAGCATGACCCAGCATTCTTTTTTTTTTTTCTTTATCTTGCTCCTGTTGTAAGAAAAAACTTTTATTAGTCTGTGACATCATTGCCAGCTTTTTAATGCTGCTGGGAGTTCATTTTGTGTTGGTCTGAACCTCCAGAACTAAAGTTCCCAAGAACCCTTCCACACAGTGTGTAAGCTGGCTCTTGGGAGTCAATGAAGCAGAATTGTTTTGCTAAGAAATACATTTATGTATGCATATGGAGAGTGTTGAACAGGAGTTCTGTAGACCAGCAAGGATGGCTGGAAATCATGTCAAAAGCACACTGGGTTTCTGGCAGTTCAACAGGCACTTTCTGTATTTTGCAGTGGGGGAATAAGCATGTATTGGAGAGGTACTTTTTTCTTTTTAACTTAACAAAAATTATTGTTAGCACTACCATGTACTTATACTCCTATCATATTTTTTTTTTATATTCTAGGTGCTGTTTTAGTATTTTTGCCTGGCCTGGCAGAAATCAAAATATTGTACGAACAACTCCAATCAAATGCCTTGTTTAGCAATCGACGCAGCAAACGGTGTGCTCCTCTGCATTCTGAATAGACATGGTGTGCTATATATAAACAATTGTTCATTGTTTCATCTATTTGGTTTCTTTCCTGCAGATGTGTGATCTACCCATTACATTCATCTTTGTCAAATGAAGAGCAACAGGCTGTATTTATAAAACCACCATTAGGGGTTACCAAGATAATTATTTCCACCAATATTGCAGAGACCTCCATCACTATTGATGATATTGTGTATGTGATTGACTCAGGCAAAATGAGGGAGAAGAGGTAATGTATTGCACGATATTGCATATAATTTTTATATTTCTATATATTTCTATATTCAGTTGTTTTATTATAAATAATTTCAAGTCGAAATCCAGATTCAGCCAAAAAAAAACTATTCTATACCTGCATATCCATTATGTGCATAATTTGTATGTGTAAAATTTTAGGTTACATTTTTTTGCATTCTGCAGACAAGTTCCTCTGGCAAAGCTAAATACCAGAATTATTAGTTGTTGGTATGTCATTCATGTCATCGTTTTGTGGAGAGGAAGGAAGTTATGCGAGTTCCAACATCATATCATTTCTAGGACCTTTTTTTTTTTCTTCTATTGATATTGCATCTCAGGATCTGTTATAGCCATGTGGACCCTAAAAAAACATGATCTCTTTTCACATAAAGAGGGTTTTTATTTCTCTAAACCTGAGGTGGGATTTTTAGGGACAGTAAGGCTATAAATACTTTTTGGAATATTTCTTCATTATTGACTAGAAGAAATAAATGTATAGCAGCGTGTTTACAAGCGATGTAATCAATCAAGTGTAGTTGTGTGAATATCTGTCTGAGGGTCCAAAGTGGATCACACTAGAACTAGCCCAGTGTTTCTCAACCTTTTTTCAGTCACAGAACCCTTTAAAAGTATGCAAATTATCAAAGCACCTCAATGTATAAAATGGCGTGGCCCCTTCAAAACATTTTTTAGGGGGACCCCATCCAAAGACAGAGTTCCCCCTTTAAATAAGTACCCCCCCCCTTTCACATCAAAATCCCCTTTTAGATCAGGAGCCCCTCCTTTTACACCAGAGGTCCCCCTCTCACACTAGGAGCCCCACAGCTGTGCTGTGTTTTTTTAGTTTTTGTGCCTAGTGTCCTACTTCTGAAGGTGGTGCTATAACCTAAAGCTCAGAGATTCAAAATCTTTAATTTGGACCAGGACGGTAACATGAGTTTTTAAGGTGAGTAGGAATAGGTTTTGGCATAGAGTTTTAAGTCTATAACAATCAGGAAAATAGGGTTATATCTGGAGCACTGAGATTATTTTCTATTTTCCTTAAGTATAATCCAGATATGTGATTCTTGGGACTGCTTTGTGAAGGGGTTGGTCTCCAAACTCTGAATAAATGTGGTCTCTAATTATGGATGCACCGATACCGTTTTTTCGGTATCGAGTAAGAGTACCGATATTTATATTTCTTATATTACTTCTGCTAGCATGGAGCCAGCTTCCCTGCCGATCCGGAAGCCAGGAGGTGGGCCATTATCGCCACTCGGCTTCCTGATTGCCCGGGAAACCAGCTAAATGCTGTTTGGCTGGCTCAATGCTGATTGGCCAGGAAGCAGACTTCCCAACCAATCAGGAGGCTGGGCGTGGGTAATGCCTTCCTGATTGGCCGGGAAGCCGACTCCATGTTTTCCCGCAGCACTGCCGGTCAGAGGAAATCTCCTTCTGACCAAAAGTTCCGGTATCGGGGAAGGTACTCGCCCAAATACTCGGTGTATACCTATCTCTAATATAGGAGCCAAGATGTCCGGAACTGGGTGTAGAAAAGAGACCTAAACCTATCAGTGCCTAGGCTCTTGTCTGGAGGCATGGAGGAAATGATGGCGGATGCCAGCTTGTCGGGCTTGGGAGGAGTCTTGAACTCTCTCTTGGTCCAAGGGACTTGGACGCCAGAGGAGTCTTGTTGCCTAATCACCATTCTGGAGCTCAGTGTTTTGGTTCATTCTCCAATGGTGGACATAGTTAATGTGGTTGAAAGAACCCACAGGTCGGTCTAGTTCAACCTAGTGTGTGAGCTTAAGACTTTAAGGTCTACAAGGACCCCCAAAACTTTTTCATCACAGATTCTTCTAGAGGGGCTCCTCCCAGTGAGTATTATACAAGCATATTCTTCGCACTCAAGTGCACTGTTGGTGATAAATTAACGCCATTAAATAAATGTTCACCCACTATGCTTTGGCTCTATCCTGAAGTATAGGAGCTTTGCTGATGAGACTATAGGTCCTTGCACTTTATACCTGTTAGCATCTTCTTCTTTTTTATCTAAATGGTCATTCCAGTGATTCTCATTGCACTTAACTGGTCCAGACAGACATGGTATTTGGATCTTGTCAAACTCCTAGAAGATTCTCCGAGGGCTCTTCCAGATTGCCCTGTTCTTCTGTCACAGGGAGCACCTAGGTTCACAGACTGGCTGTTAAAGCCCAGGTCTTGAAGGATAGGGGCTTATCTGGTTTGGTTAACTCTACACTTTTAAGGCTAGGAAGTTGACCTCTCAAGTTCCACCATTTTACCTGGAAGGCATATTTCTCATGGTGTAAGGAAAGGCATTTACACCACAGGAAGTACTTGATGGGACAAAACCTGTCTTCTCCAATCAGGTCTGGGTCAACAGTTGGCCTTGTGGACCATAAAGGGTCAAATCTCCATCCTGGTCATTCTCTTTCAATGACTGCTAGTTTCTCACTTAGTAAAAGCCTTTGTTCAGGGTGTTGCTAACATTGCGCCAGCTGTTTGTTCCCGTGTCACCATGGGATCTTAACCTGTCAAATCTCACTCGCAAAGTCTCCTTTCTTGTCGCCATCACCACAGCACACCATGTCTCCAATTTGGTGGCAGCCTTGACCTGTAAGGAATCTTTTGTTTGTACTACATAGAGACCAGATTGTTCTGATGCCAAAAGATTGTTTCTTTGCAAGGTGGTTTCTCCTTTCCACTTTAACAAGAAGATTGTCCTGCCTTCTCTATGTCCTGCTCCTCGCTATCCCAAGGAGGTCTCCACTGCTGGATGTGGGCATGCTGTCTGAGTCTACTTTTAGGCTTCCGCTTCGTTTAGACTAAGATTCTCTTTTTTTTTTTTCGTTCCCAAGGGCCCCCACAGGGGGCAACCTAATTTTCATCCCACCATCTCCAGGTGGATTTGACAAATCGTCATTCAGGCTTATTGGCTTGAAGGGTTTTTTCACCTTTTTCTGTGACATTTGATTACACACACACACACACACACACACACACACACACACACACCTCTCAGTACTGTACAACGCTTTTAAGTCTTTAACCCTTTTGTTAGGACAGACCGTGTTCAAATGTAGTTTACAACTGATAATGAAAGCCAGCAAGGTAGACACAGTAATTCAAGTAAATATAACACCCCCCTCAACATTACATGGGGGGCTAGGTAGTATTACTTGAAGTCCCAAAGCTCTTAGAGTTTAAGCAGGAATTTATTTATTTTTAAATATTTTTTGTTATGCAATGTGAATGGGAACATGTAACAAATATAAAGTAGGTGTTATCCCAATATGGCTGCAATCGTGAAAGAGAAATAAAGAAAAATGCACTTTAAGGACAAGGTTCCTCCTTTTACTGTCAAAGCACATTCTACTACTTCTGTTAGTGCTTCTTGGGCTTTCTAGCATCTGTTTCTCAGATATGTGAGGCTGCTACCTGTTCTGTTCACAAGTTTGTTTTACCACATAAGAAAATAGTGCCTTACCTGTAAGATCCTTTTCTTGGAGTACATGATGGGACAGAGGTCCCGTCCCTCTGTTCTTATGATCCACTCCTACTATTGCATGCTTACAAAACTGAGGCTTGCTAAAGAGTGGGAGGGGTTATGCAGGACTATCCAACAGCTTTGCTATGCTAGTATAATCTCCTGAAGGGGGCAGCAAAACCCCATGTTCATGAATACCATCCTGTGTCTTGTAATGTACTCCAAGAAAAGGATTTTACAGCTACGCCAAAATCCTATAGGATTCTTTAAATTCTAGACAAAAAAGAGATGAGTGGGAAAGATGGAGGGAATCCAGCCAGACCAGTCCCGTATCATCCAAATGAGCCCTCTGACTCCAAAGGGTTAACTCAAAGAAAGGATTTAAAGTGTGGAGAATGAGCAAATTCAATCCATACGCTCTATACATGCAACAAACTTCTGATATCAGTTATGCAGGTAAACAGTTCTTTGATTCTCAGGATAGTATTTAATTCTGTCACCCATTCTCAGATATGTGAAACCTTGCTCAACTTTGTGTCTAGATAAAATGTAAGACTTTTGCACTTGTCCTTTTCTAGATATGACCCATCAAAAAGTATGGAGAGCCTTGAAGAAACATGGGTATCTAAAGCCAATGCTATTCAGAGGAAAGGAAGAGCTGGCCGTGTGGCCTCAGGTGTATGCTTTCACTTGTTCACCAGCCACCACTATCACCATCAGCTTCTAGATCAACAGCCCCCAGAGATCCATCGTATTCCATTGGAGCAGCTTTGTTTAAGGTATATGCTATATTTGTTAATATTTATACTGTTTGTAATACTTTTTTAATATGTTTTTAATATTTGAACTGAAATATTTGTGCTGTCATTTCAAATGCCCTTCTGAAAATGCCTTGACTGTCGTATTGAAATTCTACAACAACCTGCATACTTGTTCTAGGTTAGTGATTCACTAAGTAGAAAAGTCCCAGACAGTCAGGCAGTTGGCATTTTAGGAGGTCAGAACGGCAGTTAAATGTGTATACAGTAAACTCCCACGAGATGGGTAGGTGCCGGATAACTGTAGTTTCTGGTTGCTTGTTTCCGCTCCTCTGCTTGGTGAGGGGGGGGTTCAATAGCCAGCCTGCTATTGCAAATTGCAGTAGCCAATTACAGACTGGCTATTGAAATCCCGCCCACTGAACAGAGGAGCGGACTTCTTCTCTCTCAGGTCCGCTCCTCTGTTCAGTGGGTGGGCACAGTAGCCAGCCTGCTATTGCAATTGGAAAAAAGCCAATAGCAGGCTAGCTATTGAAACCCATTGTTTACATTCTGCTGCCCACTGCAGAATCTAGGCGCTGGCTAGGAGCAAAATGTAAACAAATAATTTAGTTGGCAACTGAATAAATACATTTAGTTGCTTACAAAATTTTGTAGTCTCCCCATTTGTATAAAAAAATACACTATATTGCCAAACTTATTGGGACGCCTGCCTTTACACGCACATGAACTTTAATGGCATTCCAGTCTTAGTCCGTAGGTTTCAATATTGAGTTGGCACACCCTTTGCCGCTATAACAGCTTCAACTCTTCTGGGAAGGCTGTCCACAAGGTTTAGGAGTGTGTCTATGGGATAGTTTGGCCATTCTTCCAGAAGCACATTTGTGAGGTCAGGTACTGATGGACGAGAAGGCCTGGCTCGCAGTCTCCGCTCTAATTCATCCCAAAGGTGTTCTATCGGGTTGAGGTCAGGACTCTGTGCAGGCCAGTCAAGTTCCTCCACCCCAAACTCACTCATCCATGTCTTTATGGACCTTGCTTTGTGCACTGGTTTGCAGTCATGTTGGAACAGGAAGGGGCCATCCCCAAACTGTTCCCACAAAGTTGGGAGCATGAAATTGGCCAAAATGTCTTGTATGCTGATGCCTTAAGAGTTCCCTTCACTGGAACTAAGGGGCCAAGCCCAACCCCTGAAAAACAACCCCACCCCATAATCCCCCCTCCACCAAACTTTACACTTGGCACAATGCAGTCAGGCAAGTACCATTCTCCTGGCAACTGCCAAACCCAGACATGTCCATCAGATTGCCAGACAGAGAAGTGTGATTCGTCACTCCAGAGAACACGTCTCCACTTCTCTAGAGTCCAGTGGCGGCGTGCTTTACACCACTGCATCCGCCTCTTTGCATTGCACTTGGTGATGTAAGGCTTGGATGTAGCCGCTCGGCCATGGAAACCCATTCCATGAAGCTCTCTGGCATAACAACAGTGCGTAATCTGAAGACCACATGAAGTTTGGAGCTCTGTAGCTATTAACTCTGCAGACAGTTGGCGACTTCTGCGCACTGTGCGCTTCAGCACGTGCTGACCCCGCTCTGTCATTTTAGGTGGCCTACCACTTCGTGGCTGAGTTGCTGTTGTTCCCAGTTGCTCCCACTATGTTATAATACCACTAACAGTTGACCGTGGAATATTTAGTAGCAAGGAAATTTCACGGATGGACTTATTGCACAGGTGGCAACCTATCACGGTACCACGCTTTAATTCACTGAGCTCCTGAGAGCGACCCATTCTTTCACAAATGTTTGCAGAAGCAGTCTGCATGCCTAGGTGCTTGATTTTATACACCTGTGGCCATGGAGGTGATTGGAACACCTTAATCCAATGATTTGGAGGGGTGTTCCAATACTTTTGCCAATATAGTGTATGCATGAGCGCTAAGAAGAAAGACTGTTGTGACTGCTGTACCCCTCCTCCCCCCCTAGGAATCCCTTGATGCTTCTGTAATCCTCTTTGTCGCAGGTGTACACTATAATACGTGTTTATTTGTAAAACAAAGATTATTGCACTGGTGGTTTTCCTGAAACTCAAGTTGGCCATACACCAAAATATTTTTTGTTCAACCTGTGGGCTGAATGAAGAAAATATTAGATTCCTCTATCAATGCTTACAAGTGTTATCAAGGAATCTCCCGCTGTTTGCGTTGTACTCAGACGGCGGCCACCTGCCACTGTCAGTATATCCAAACAGAGCCAGCAGCTCATTGGCTGCCGACTGTTCATTCGAAGATTTTCCGACCGGCTCCTTCAATCAACTGAAACTCGCACTCACTATGCGATTTTCAGTTCTTTGTTTTTATCCAGCCAGAAGCGATGTGATGTAATAGACCAAATATGGTCAGGACCATATTTGGTCAATGACATCTCCTGGGATACCTGCTGACTCATTTGCATTCCGGCAGGCAGTGGGATAGTGGCTGATAAGATGCTGCCAGCATCTTGGCAGCCAATGATGCTGTGCAGCCTGCAGAGCAGGAAGCATCACTACCCCCAATAAATGGGTTCAGCCGCTGGAGCATACAAAGTTCAGGTCGAACCCTTTTACTGAGCTGAACCTCTTCCTTAGTTGTGTGTACTCCTTGCTACATGTACTAAAACACACATTAAGAGTTTGTGTTATTGGTATAACATATTTGATGTGATTTTAATCCTTTGCACAAAATGTTATATGCAAATTTTGGATGCCTATCTGCATTTCAAGTTGACAGTCAACATTCTTTCCATTCCAGAATGTTTTATAATGTGGGGGAAAACGTTTTTTGTTTTTTTGTTTTTTTGCAGCGAGACTTTCTCAATATTTGGTAGACCATTAGGGTCTTAAGTCATTTGTAGGCCTTTGCTGTGCTCCATGTCCTATCAGCATGGAAACACGATAAACAAATATGGCTTTCCATATACATTAAAAAATGTGATTTTAAACAAGTGACACTAGTTGGCACTCTTGTTTACTTTTAATTTTGCAATTTGGTTTAAGTGGGCAGCTAGGATCACAACATGCTCAGGTATTTTCTTTTTGTAGTTGCAGGCTTAAAGTAGAACCAAATTAAGCAAAAATAATTAATTAAAGGTAAGGGTTGTTTTGCTAGAAGAGATGTCCTCTGCCAAAAAACTGTCTCTAGCTGTCTCCTATCAAACTTTCTTTCTGTACATTGCCTGTGGTGCATGTACAGTGAATGGTTCACTCCCAGCTTCATTCCTGCCATCTGCAAAATGTTGAGAATGGAGCCAGGTGCCAGGACATTGCAGCATTGTGCATGCCCAAGTGTTGTGCCATCAGAGAAAATATGCCAGACCCAAGGAAGCCTTGGAGGTGCTGTCAGACAGATCGAAGAGGTGAAACACAGGCCTCATATTGCTGGAAGTAGGGCATACTGAGAAGTCTACCCTAATGTGCAAGTATACTGTGAATGCTTGCACAATATGGCAAATGTTCTGAGGTTTTAGTTCTTCTTTTATTTACATGGACTTGCTCTTCTTCTCCCATGTACTTTTTTGTTTTTTTTATAACCCATTTACTTATTTTTTTATTCTTAGAATAAAGATTTTGGACGTATTTTCTCAGTGCCGTCTAGATACTGTTTTGTCTCGGTTGATTGAACCCCCTTCAGTGGAATCTGTTCAAAATTCCAAGTTACGGCTTCGGGATCTTGGGGCACTTACTATGCAGGAAACTCTCACACCACTAGGTTATCACTTGGCTTCCCTGCCTGTAGACGTGAGGATTGGTAAACTGATGCTCTTTGGTGCCATCTTCTGCTGTCTGGACTCGGCTCTCACTATTGCTGCCAGCCTGGCTTTTAAGTCCCCTTTTGTAAGTTCTTTTAAAATTACATTCTTTCATTTACCTGTGAGTGGCTGTATTTTGGAGTTTAACCCAAATGGGTTGCATAATGCAGTAGCGATTTTTAGGGGAAAATGTGAGGGTACAGTAATTCTTATTACTTTATGGGAGGAGGAATTAAACTTTGAATAAATATAGTAATAACAGCCGGGCAGAGGGCCTGCCATAAAAACCCTAGGGAGAACACTGTACAGTATAGGATTTTAGTAACAATGTCTTTACTGTGTATAGGCATTACAGTATACTGTAGTAGGACATTTTTGTATTGCATATTTTTGCTTGTATAGGATTCAGAAGTACTATTGTGACAAATTTAAGTAGACCTATTTGTCAATATCTGACTTTACATCACTTAGGTGTATCTATAAATGGCCTGTACTGGCATAAGATGAAATAATATGGAGTTTTATATTGATATTGTATTTAGTACTTAATAGATGTAAAGTGGAGGTAGCAGCATGGAATGCTGGAATGTGTAATTGTGCACCTGAATAAGATGGCTGTTTAGGGTATGTTCACATGGGATGAGCTTGAAACCAAATGCTTGATCACACATTGCCATGCATTATTCATATTTGACTGTAAGGGAAAATAAGCAAATGTATCAAATACATTTTGTGCATCAGTGTTTTCACTTTGATTTGTGTTTTAGGTGTGTCCCTGGGATAAAAAGGATGAAGCCAACAAGAAAAAGAAAGAATTTGCTGTAGCAAATAGTGATCATTTGGCTCTTCTTCAAGCATATAAGGTAAATGGTATAGTAAACAACATATACAATATGGCAGTGGTAAGAAAACTGTAAATCACAGCTTACTATAATCTCATTTAAGGATCCCTTTAATATATATATGTATATGGTTTCCATATGTTTAGGGCTGGAGTAACGTCATAAAGGAAAGCCCACGTGCTGGTTTCCAGTATTGCCGGGACAATTTTCTGTCATCAAGAGTAATGCAGGTAGGAGGTGGTGGTAGTTGTTGCTATTATTATGTCTGTGTTTAATTGTATATGTGTGGCTACTCAGGAATATTATGTGTGTGTATATTAGTATGTCAGTTCAACAAATCCTGCTCCAAAAGAGCATTTAAAGAAAAATAAAAAAAGTGTGTGTGTGTGAACTCATTATTCATTTAAAGATTTTATTTATTAACCCTTTCGCTGCCAAGGCCTCAAACGCTTCTAACCTCAGCTGGCCACACCATTTTTGCTCATTTTTACCTTTGTTTTGATTTTTTTATTGCTGCGTTGCAAACCATATATTTTCTGAAAGCACAGGCCCAGAAGAATAAAAAGATTGCGCTACTAATTTTGTAGTGCGATAATTGATCAAATCAATATGAAAACGAAAAAAATACACAATTCAAATCCGTATCGGTGCACAAAAAAAAAATACTTTTCCGACTAAATCTAAAAGATAAAACTGGTATTGAGATAATGAATAACAAATATTTGTAAATTTTAAATTGCGCCTTTTTGCAAAATGCTCCCTTCTGCTAAAGCGACCATGAGCTTATAGCAGAAGGGAGAAAGCCACCAATGTATGGAATACTGATGTGGCCAGTTGGAAACAGTTGTGTACCACCATATGCCATACATCAGTGGCAGGGAAAGGGTTAAATAACATTTGTAGCACTAGCATACTAGAATACCTTATTTTGGGTAGATTAATTCAGCTTAATTTTACATCTTTCTTATGCTGCTATAAGCTACCAGTTCACAGAGGCCTCAGGAAAGGTGACCCGGAGCTCCTGAAGATCTTGCGTCTTATGTTCATTTGAATATTGTTTATCCCATAAAGGGCCTCCATTATGTAATAGACGAAGTTTAAGTGCATTTCAGTAAGCATTATTTTCCATGGAATTCAGAACAGTCAGGTTCTACCAGGAGGTTGAGTCACTGGCAAACAGAAAAATTATAAGGCAGTGCCCGTATAACTCCTCGTCTACCCAGCATTCCTCCATAGTTTTTCTTTTTTTGCTAGCATCCTAGGAGGTTGGTTTCTAAAGCTCTGAGGGGGGAAAAAAATCAAACTGATTTTTTGGTAGTCTTTTTTAACTTAGTAGTATTTTTTCCTTGGCGACTTTGTTCAAGATTTGTGTTTATACCACTTGTGTTCCTTCCTCTGTGACTTCCTCACTACACTGCTGCTTGAGCTGGTCTCTATATTGCAGCTTTCCAGATTGGCAGCATTTCAGCACTACTTTGGAGGCCATATCCAGACACTGCTGGACTAAAGGTGCAGCACTAGCCTGGAATGTAGCCTTCGGGCACTCAGCTCTACATTGTGGTGCTTTCCAGACCTTAGTGTTTTGTATTAGTTGGAAATAGAGTGCTTTTTGGGTTCAGGGCTGTGGCACAGACCCAGGTGTGACCCTGTCTCCTGAAGGCTTACTTGGCGAGTACAGCTGATCAGGTTGAAGCACCAGGAGCTACTTCACTGTTTACACCGTCAGTCATTTCCAATACTGACGTTTTTTACCATGGTAAGGGATGGAGCGCTGGCACCATCTGGTAGGTGGAGTGCTGCGTTCACTATTCAGGCTGCAGGAAGCATCATCCTGATGCTTCTGAAGCACCACATCAGTTTCCGGTCTGTTTCCACTGCCTGCTTACAGTGACTCGGTCACCTCCTGGCTGCTTACAACCCTCATCGGAACCAACTGCCCGGGTTTGTGAGTATCTGCCTAACTTTGGTCCTAGTTGCATTACCACTGCGAGGTCGCAATGTGTCTTTAAGAGACACACAGGACATTTCCACTGCCAAAAGCAACCTCAGCTCATACTCCCCTAGTATTCTCTGGGCATTTATCTGGTATCCCCAGATGGAAACAACACCCTTAATCCGGAACCTGGGACCTCTGTTGTCATAGGATCATCCTCGTCTTGAGTGCACTCTTGCCCCAATGCAGGAAGTTTGTGGCAAGGACAGGAAAATCACGCCCTGCTCCTTCAGCAACCATAAACTTCTGTCAAAAGGGTCTACTAGATTTCATGTCAAACCACTGATCGCAGCCATTGATAGCAAAATGTGAATGCTCGCACCCCTGCCGACAGTGGCCGTAGTGTTCCACAATCTTCTACCTTTCTGCTGCCTCTGTGTCCCCCTCTGATCTATGCTGCTCTTTTGTGCCTCATCGACCTTCATTGTGACTTAAATCTTGGATATAAATCAGCTTTGTGTTCAACAAATGCTTTTGCAAACCCGTTGTTACCTTACAAACATAGCAGTAATATCACCACTGTACTGCACATAACCTGTACAGAGAGCAGAACTGTGGGAGGGTCTAAGAATGCCCATCTGCTACATGCTGCCTGCGGAAAACTACAGGGGTGTGAATAGAAGGCCAATCGCCCTGCACAAGGGGAGAGAGCAGCGGTGACCAGTCTTCATTACAGGAAGCGCCTGCTTAGAAGCAAGTTTCATGCTGGATTACTGCAAAGATCTGGAAGAAATATTCAAAGCACATGAAGATTCAAGTAAGAATACACATGCTTCTTGTATTTAGACAATATTTGCTTATCCCGGACTTCAGTGCATTTTTGAGCATTTCCATTGAAATCTATTGAAGTCTATGGAACCTATGTACTCCTTCCTTTTTTTTTTTTTTTACGTAAAAAAAAAAAAAAAGCGCTACAAAACCGCTAGGTGTGAATGGAACCTTATACGATTTAAGCTGTAATCTTGTAGTAAATCTCTTGCGCAGTGTCTTGCTTCTCCTGGTTAGCATTGCCTTGCTGAATTGATAAATATCTCCAAATGTATTATTACAATCTATAATGTACATAGAAACACCGTTTTTAAAACACTAACACACTTTTATAATTATTTACATCAAACCATTTTTTTTTTAAACATACAATGTCTAAAAAAAATGTACGTGTCTTTCATTTACACATACAATATGTCTACAAAATGTAAACAACTTTACATTCCCGTTAATAAATACAAACACAATATTTATTTTGGAATTTATACATGCTTTAGGAAATAGCTAGTCTGAAGAGACAGTTCACAGAGCTGCTGTCAGATATTGGTTTCGTGCAGGAAGGTCTTCGAGCTAGAGACATTGAGAGGAGATGGGCCCAGAAAGGAGATGGGGTCATGGAAGCTACTGGGGAAGAGGTACGTGAACACTTCATTAGATCTGTCACTTGATTTGTAATTTATATGTAAACCTTTCAGTTGTCAAGCTCTTTTCATTAAAAATTCCATCTGTAAATCTCTTTTACTGCTACTCCACTCTAAAATAAAAAACATTTTAAAAAAAGCTACAGGTGTGTTAGGCACAATCCACAGACCATCACAATAAATGTATGAATAATAAATATCACACAAACAAGCCCACGTGTAAAACAAAAAAATTGGTAGTTATAGTCCGTTTAACCCCTTCATGACTGAGGCGCTTTTTTTCTTTTTTGCAGCCATGTTATATTCCACATTTTAGGCCTGCAAATTACTTAAAACCCCCCAACATTATATATTTTCTGAAAGCCAAGACCCTGTAGAATAGAATGGTGGCAGTTGCAAATTTTTATTTTGCACGATATTAGCGCAACTCCTTATCAAACCCCAACATTTTGTGAACAATCTACTTAAATGCCCCAAAACACAATTAAATACCCATTTTGTTTAATAAAATATGAAAGATGGGGTTACAACGAGTAAATAGATACCCAACATGTCCAGGTTAAAAATTGTGTGTGTCCGTGAAAAGGCGACAAAATTCAGTACCCCAAAAAGTCCATAGACGCTTTAAAAGCCCCCACAGGTCATCAGTTTAGAGATACCCAAAAATACTGGCCCTAGAATTATTGCTCTATGGCGTGCGTGGCGATACCCAACATGTGTAGCGCGTTTGTCGTTTTCATACGTGGGCACACCTGACGCGTGTTTGCGTGAAGACACTCGCAGGGGACTTTAAAAAAAAATTTACATTATTTTTCGATTTATTTTATTTAATGTTCATTTTAAAAACTGTTATTGTTTTTTTTTTTACTTTAATTGCTATCACATAGGGGGGGCTTACAAGCCCCCCATGTGATAAAAGAGTGTGGTGACAGGTACTCTTTAAGGTGATGCTGGGGGTTCAAAAGACCCCCAGTATCACCTTTGTACTCTAAATGAGCTATTGAAGTGCAGATCGCTTCAGGAGCCCAGCACTGACAGCTTTGGGACCGGAAGTGATGCAATCTGCATCACTCCCGGTCCCATAGTACAGAGAGGGAATCGACGAACAGAGGTTCTTCCATCTTCTCCCCAGCATCCTGCCTACACCATAGAAGCCGGGCCCGTAGGAGGGGCAACGGAGCCTGGGAAACACGGCGGGGGTGTCGGTCTGGGCCCTTCACCGGGCCGTAGAAGCGAACTGGTGACAGCTGAGTTGCCAGAATCGCTTCTACTGTAAAGCCAACAGTCGGCTTTACAAGTTTTTAAACTAAGTCCCGGCGGCAAAAGCTGCCGCAAGTCTGTTTAAACAGCCCTGAAGCCAGCGACTTACACTGTATGTCATTTTGCCGTGAAGGGGTTAAATAAAACTCCCATCAGCAAGCAATATTGTAACAGTGCCCAGCATAGAACTACTATGGCAGGTTTAATTATGTTTTTAAAAAGAAAATGCATTGATTTAATGACATTTCAAACTCCGTCAGAAGGAAATTTCAAAAGACCCCACATAAAGGATTATAAAAGTATGGATCGTGTCATGCCCTTATACTTGTCGGAAAACTTTGCCTGACTTTCCCCTGAGATAAGCTGGCGCTTTGAACGGTCAGTGGCCTGTCACTGCCACTCCTCTATTGCCATGAACGGGAACATTGAGAGGTGGTCAGATCCTGAAAGCAAACCAAACTGTTCACTAATGTTTATGGTCAGTATAGACTTAAAATCCGGAATTGTTTTATAGATCAGTAAATGTATTTATTTTTTTTCCCCTTCACCCACTGTTTGCTAACATCCAAAGGCTAAATCATGATCTAATTATACTTACAACTTCCTTTTGTTTGTGGATATTCAATTTTGTACAGGCAAACATAAATGGAGAGAATATAAAGCTGATGTCAGCAATGTTATGTGCAGCGTTGTATCCCAATGTGGTCCAGGTAAGTTATTTATATTTATTTATATTAGGGCTGTTACTGATTTTAAAATTTTCGTGTTCGATTAATCCAAATTTTTTTTAAGCGATTTCATTTCGATTGTTTATAATGCACATACAGATCCAAATACATTGGTCTATACACATACAGCACAGCAATGAAGTAATAAAATGAACTAGGATCACACTAATCCAGCACGGTTTTAATCTCATGTGCCCCACTCAATATGGCCGCCGCTTGAGTGGGGCAACTCAGAATAATAACGTGCTGGATTAGTGTGTTCCTAGTTCATTTTATTGCTTCATTGCTGTGCTGTATCTGTATAGGCCAATGCCTGGGCTGGCGCTCGTGCAGAAAGTTTCTTGGGCAAACTCACCGGCCCAAGTGGCTCCGTCGGCTAACGAAGGGAAGGGGGAGAAGTCCGGTGATGTCACTGACATCGATGTCACCGGACTCCTCCCACCTTCCCTTCGTTAGCCGACAGAGCCACTATCTCGTCACTCTAGTAAGTCGCTAGGATCACAGCTGCGGAAAGGTGTTCTTGACGGCTAGTCAGTATGTGGCCTCAATTAATCCTTTCCAATGGTGTAGCGGAGGAAAGAGGACCCATTACATCATCAACCGTTAATGGTGCAGTAAATAGCTGGGGTTCAACCCGAGAGCTGGTGGTGGTGTATGGTCATTTCCCCCAGCAATAGGGATGGAGTAGTTACAGGTTAGCAGAGTTTAGAACCTTATACGTATTACATGGTTGCAAGTAGTGAGGCCGATATAAGCGGGATATGCACTGTTGGTAGCGGTGGCACTAGGTAGTAACCTCACAGTTCAGAAGTCACCACACGGATCATGAGTTATATCAGTATTAGAGTTATAAATTAGTAGTAATTACACAGTTCAGTAATCCACAGTATAGGGTATAGGCAATAATCATCAATGGTTATCTCCAGGCATTTATAGCATAGTCCAGAATCCACTGTATAACTCATAGGAAATAAGCAGTAGGCTCTATTAGGAGTCCCCACTAGGTGGTGCTGTTCCCTAAGCAATCCCCACCTCTAGTTATAATGATCAGGATAACGTTTTTTAACAGTAGTAGCCTATATATCCAGGCTACTTGCTGTTTTTGGATGTCAGCAGAGTGAGACGGAAACCCACGATGCAGGAGGGGTTGAGCTGGAGACTGAGAGCGGTGTCTTCAATGGTGGAGAGATCCGTGACAGCAGGAGAACCAGCACAGCATGCGACTGGCTGGTATACACTGCACTATAGAAGGACGCCGCACAATAGCTTCCCTGACGGTTTTATCAGAGCGACGGGGAGCGTGGAAAAGACAGGGCCTGTCTCAGACGTGACGCTGGAACGGCGCGCGGTGAGTTTCTTACACCCACTTGGGGACATCGACGTCACCGGACTCCACCCCCCTTCGTTAGCCGACGGAGCCACTTGGGGAAGGGGGAGGAGTCCTTGAACGCAGGAAGCCAGCCGGCTTGCGTTCCAGAGGCTGAACACACTGGAACGCGGAGTTTGTGGTGTGAACCGGTCCTCAGTGCTGAAACAGGTTGGAGGGAGGGGCCCAATCAGTTTGCATTTAGATTAATAAAACTAAGCTGGATTGTACTTTGTGTACAGCTGATTTTCTTTGAATTTGAATAGCATATTGTTGTAGACGAGCCTTGGAAAGCCAGAGGCGTGGCCTTTTTTGTTGCATATTTTTCCTTAAATGCCACCTTAATGTGTACATTTTATTGTTTCTGTGGACTTCCAAAAGTTAAAAAGAAAATGTGTTTGTAATTATCTAAAATTAACGAAGATTTTGGATTTGGACGAATCCGAATAACAAAACAAATTGACTTTCAGACCTGAATCCCGAAGAATTAAATAACGAAAAATCCGAAATGAAACAACCGCTGCTTCTTTTTTTTTTTCTTGCTCTGTAAAGAGCATTGAAAAGAAGACAGCAGAAGAGAAACAAACTCTGCAGGATAGCATGGGGGAAGGGAATAGCCCATAAGATGGAGCGAATTTGCTTAACGAATAATGGTTTCCTTTTTTGTAGGTGAGAACACCAGAAGGAAAATTTCAAATGACAAGATCGGGAGCTGTAAAAATGCATCCAAAAGCAGAGGAGTTGAAATTTGTGACAAAGAATGATGGTTATGTTCACATCCACCCGTCCTCTATAAACTACCAGGTATGTTATTGAACTCAAAGCTTTAATGTCTGCAATGTCCTGTATTATTCTCATAATAGAAAGAGAGAAGAGCATTTCCTGTCAGAAATAATGGGGAAATAAACTGGGGTGTTCTCCACCTCACTGTTTACTCCCCTCACAATGATCTCCTACTACTTCCTGTCTACAATACTGTTGGTTTCCTGTAAACATTTAGCTTTACAATATTACATTAGCACTTCTCTCTCTGTGTTAGCCTTCTAAGGCCCTCATTCAGACGGACTTGACACCACCACCCTCTGAAAAGCAATCCACCGAGGAGTCCACAGAGGGAGTGGAGCGGCAACTGCCCAGTTTTCAGGAGGCAATACTGCTGCCTCCTGAATGCAGTGTTTTGGGGTTTTTTTCATTTTCTATTGACGCACACATGGGCATGCAGTTGTGGCGCGACCCCATTCATTTCAGTTGGCAACGTGCAGCTGGGGGGGGGGGGGGGGGGGGCGCACCCCACAACCGGTAAGCCACACATCAACTGCACAGTTTTATCGCCCTTGTGAATGATGCCTTAGTGTTGTGCGTGCTCCACACCTCCCACCTGGCTCTATCTTTTCTAAGGAGCATGTACACCGATCAGCCATAACTTGCTTGCGCCACATAGACAGACCACACAGTCAAAGAACAGGTGTACAATCAGTCAGAACACACACATGGCACACGATTTACAAGATCACTTATTATTATTGTGTTAAGGGCTTGTTCACACCAAGCGCGGAGCAGATCCGGACCAGAGCAGGTGCAGACCGGATCAAAACTGCATCCAATGTATTCCTATGGTATTTTGACCTCCAGTTCACATCGCAGCGTGCGGATCCAGACCGGATGAAAAAAATGCGGCAAGCCCTATTTTACCTGCTCTGGATCTGGTCTGGAACGCATCAAAAACGCATCTAAAACGCATGCAAGTGCCTGAAAGTCCATGTTAAACTTAAAAAAATGTATTTTATTTTTTTACCAAAACCGGCCCTAAATGCATCCAAAACGCGTCTAAAACGCGGCACAACCCACTACACTGCGTGTGCAGAAACCTGACCGGATCTGGTCTGCATTTGGTGTGAACAAGGCCTAAGTGTTTGTTAGAGTGTGGTGGCCACGTGGTGCAATTTCCATTTCTGCTCTTAACACAGTACTGACATTCTTCCTGAATGCACCCCACTGACAAACCTTCAGCATCAAGCCCTTGCATATAAGGTCCATTTTAAGTCTAACAAAATGGCAACATTTAGACCTTGTAAATATAAAGCCTGTTAGAACAGTTCATGCAATGCATTCACAACATGCAAAGGGCTACAGGAAGACTATAATTTTATACATGGGTATATGAGGTTATGCATGTGTGGGGGTTTAAAATATGGAGAGAGACAATGTAATACTGCGGCCACATACTGATGCATGCCATTTTTGATGGGTTGTGTGATATTGCTATATTACGGAACCTACAATACAGCAGTACAGATGGCCTTGCCATATTATTTCTGCATAATATCCTCCATGCTTGTGATGTCAATGTTTCTACTTTCCTACTGCCACTGTACAGAGCTGTTGGACTATGGCACACCGATAACATTATACAATCCCCTCCAAATTTCTAAAGACTTAATAAAAACAACTCAATACACAGAAATATTATAAAACACTATGGGGGAAATGTATCAAAACTGCAGCAGTTGCGCATGACAACCAATCAGCTTCTATCTTCAATTAGTTCAGTTAAGATTTGAAAATAAAAGAGAGATGCTGATTGGTTACTATGCACAGCTGCTCCAGTTTTGATAAATTCCCCTTTATGAATGTTGAGCCACATAACTAATGACGCGTGCATAAAACCACACCATTCCTAATTGGCTGTTCAAGGAACGAGCAAATCTTGGTAGAATGTTTTTTTAAAAACATGAAAAAATATTATTATTATTATTGTATTTTAATGTAATGGGTTTATGTTTTAGATGCGGAATTTTGATAGTCCATATTTAGTGTATCATGAAAAGGTCAAGACCAGCCGTGTATTTGTGCGAGACTGCAGCATGGTGTCTGTGTACCCCCTAGTTCTGTTTGGTGGTGGCCAAGTAAATGTTGAGCTACGCAAAGGGGATTTTCAAATTTCCATGGATGACGGGTGGATTCGCTTTGTAGCAGCCTCACATCAGGTAAAGTTTTGACAATTTTTGTTCAAATATAAGAAAAGGGACTAAGAACAAGTAATTCAGAACACAGGGACATTCATACTGTATATTAACAACACTGAGAGCACAGAGAAATCCAAGCAGCAAAGGGTTGTATTTACCAGTAGAATTGTATTTCCATTTATTAATTTCTAGATTTAATGGAAAAGTTTTCTAGATTTAATGGAAAAGCGGTCGCACATCTTTTGTCTAAGGAGCACGCTAGAAAACCAGCCAAAAATCGTACGATTTTCGGCTGGTTTGAACGGTGCTCGGGAGACAAATGCCGAACGGGCCGGTGTGCGCACTCGCACACTGCCCGCTCAGCATTGCGGTCATCGCAAGCCCGCCCCTCAGGGGGGCGGGCTTGCGATGATCGAGAGTACGATCTGCCTGTCCAAGATGGCCAGATCGTACGTTTTTTTCAATTCAAGTGTATGGCCACCTTAAGAGTCACTTCTCCCAGGTTGGTGACTTACTGTAGTAGGCAATGAGGCAAGAATAAGAAGACAGCGCTTTTTAGTTTGCACTTTTCAATACCAGGTGAACAATTGCAGTTCTTATATTACTGTCTTGAAAAGTTTTCTTTAAAGTGTCAGACCAAGATCGAATCTGGTTCGCCCGAACATTTCACATTAGCTGTCTGGTCACAGGCTGCCTACCTGCATAAAGATGCATCTATGAATAAAAATCATAATGTACATAATCCGTGCCTTATTTCTTTGAACAGATTGCGGAGCTGGTGAAAGAACTGCGCAGTGAACTAGACCAGCTTTTACAGGATAAAATTAAGAACCCTACAATGGACCTGCGTACCTGCCCACGTGGCTCCCGAATTATTGCCATGATTGTCAAACTGGTGACCACACAGTGATCTGAGATCATATTGAAAGTTGTCCGTGTCCTTTTGCCTCTGCAGATGGATGCTTTATCGGTTATTTATTGTATGTGCAAATATGAAACGGTGGAATGGCTGTAACAAGCTGAGGGATCATTTGACTTTTAGTGAAAAATAAATTATCAAGCCCGCTCAAGTCTATATATAAAACGTTTGTTAAATGGTCAATAATTTTTGCTTCCGGATAAACATATTGTTACACGTTATACTGTATAACTCTAAAATGCCCACACACTAATAGAAGATGGTGGATTGATCTCCTACTAGGAGTTTTTTTTTTTTTAAAGCTAATCTGCCTATAATCATTTAATTGGGATAATAGCTACTCTCATTGCTGGTTAAAGTAATCCAGTCATGAGAGAAATATGTAGACTGCCAATGGTGCCTTCTTTGCAAAATGCCAAAAGGACAAGTCTAAGATTCTGTGACCTATGCCACTTATTTGCTGTGTGCTTGTTCTAGGTGTGTGAGGTATTAAAGGCAGCGACAGTGAAGCACGTTGTTTTATCAGAAGGTAATGGGTCAACATCAGCCATGTCATGATAGGTGCAAAATCCAATTAGAGAGGTTATATTGAACTGCCAGAATATAGATAGTGTGATCATGATGACGAGTCGGTAAATGTGGTCATTTGTGGCCTCTCCTTGGGTAATGAGTAGCCAGATACGTTAAGCTATGACCATAAGCAGATATAGATATCTTACTGCTGCTGTTCCTATACAGACACTGGCAATGGTTAGGGAGCTTTTCATTAAAGGAGAACTATGAGGTGAGTGCTTTTCACTCGCCTCATAGTTCTAGCCGACCTGTGACAATGAGACTGTCACAGGTCGGCTCAGTAGATCGGGAGGTGAGCGAACACATACCGGCGTTCACTCACCTCTCTATCCTGTCACTGCTCTCTGCCGTGACAGGGGAGGGGCTGGATTCCCCCCTCCGCCAGCGCTGACTGTCGGACGGGGGAGGGGGCGGGTACAGCTGGCTCTGCCTCTAGATAGGCAGAGCCAGTTGTCACTCACGCAGCTGGGCAGATCCAGACATAATTGGCGGGATCCGTTTCAGCTGCGGCGTCTCGGTATATAGCGAGCTGTAGCTCACGATAAATTGAGCTTAGGGTGACGTGAGGATGCTAGTTTGTGTCCTTTGTGTCCGTTACCCTTAGGAGAACTATGGGGAAAAGCCCTAACCCCATAGTTCTCCTTTTAACGTTCTCCAATCCCTACTATTTAGCCCTCCTGACCTCTTCTGTACTAGAAGCTCCCAGCTTTCCTCCAGAGGACATCCGCAGCTTTGTCTGGATCCTCTCCTAGCCACATCTGCATAGTGAGTCCTTAGACTGTGACATGAGATGATGATAAAGCAGTGTGCCGGAAAAAAAAAAAAAAACAGGCCAAAGGACTAGTCATCAGTATGGCCTGTAGACTCAGCTGATCTTTTCCCCTATACCAACGTGTCATTCCTTCTGCTCTGTGTGGGAGCTATGATTTGCCTCCTCATATGATAGTTGTCCCTCTCATGTGTAATCTGATTTGAGGGGGGGAGGTATACAAGGAGAGGTTCAGAAAGCACAAAACCACAGAATAAATAAAGTAGAATCAGGGAGGTTTTTGCACTGCAAGTCTAGAACAGTGTTTTCTGCAGCAAAGAGAACAGTGAGCAGCACATCAGTGAAATGCCCAGATTTCACTCCAAATCTCCTGAGACTAGCAGTCGGAGGCACAGTGCCTTAGCTCTCACATGCTTATGAGGTGCCTAGGCACAGGAAGTGCAATGCTATTTTTCAGGAGGAATTCAAGGCAAAAGGTAGATAAGGGTACTACTCGGGCACAAGCAACATTACTAGATGTTCCCAATAAATTCAAGTCAACTTTTTGAGGAAATGTAAATATTAACTAGATACAAGTTTGGATTTTAAATCCAGTGTTGATAATATATTTTAGGGGATTTATCAAAACTGGAGCACACAAACTGGAGCAGTTGCCCAACTAATCCGCTTCTATCTTTTCAGTTTGTTCGGTTAAGATTTGAAATGGAGATGCTGATTGGTTGCCATGCACAGCTGCACAGATTTTGTCTGCTCCAGTTTTGGTAAATTCCCCTCTATGAAGTAAAAAAAATAATGAATGCACACTTAATAAAAGAAAAAATGTGTTATTATTTTTTTGCATAGGAGCAAGTAAAGCATTGCAACTGTAGATCACAGGTGAAATGCTTTAGCGCCTGCATACTGTCCCTCCCTTCCCTCTCCATACCAAGGTACAGACATGCAGTAACAGGGATGGGAGAAAGTGTCAATGGACTACGAGTGCGGTGATGTCACCGCATATGTATTTCATTAAAGCTACAAGTCCCTCTGACAGGATCTGTAAATGGAGAAACTACCATGGCAAAAGATCTGTGAATGGATGATGATGCGGCTGTGTGGGCTCACACAGCTACACCTATTTTCGAACAGTAGCAGCCCGTGGGGAGAAGAACCCTGTGCTTCCGGTAGGTGGGGAAGGGGGGGTCTACGATTTGACCATGTTTCATGTTATACCGAAAGTATGGGTGTAACATGAAGCATGGTCAGAAATGTGAATTTAATTTGATTCTGGTCACGTGCACATCTTTCTTTGCCTACAACTCCCATAAGCCAGAGAGAAATCATCTCTCACTGCACACAGATGCCTCCATCTACACAGAAAAACTAATTTTTATTTCACATTTAGGAGCCATTGTTCTATCACAGATTGTGACTGCGTTTAGAATGTGTCACGTGGTCACACATTCTAATGTAGTCACGCCCATTTTTTTCCGGGGTAAAAATGTGTGACCGGCAAAAGGTGTAGAATTCAAACCTTTCTCAGTTGTACCGCCATATCGGCATCGCAGATGGTATGTGCAGGAGAACCGATCTGCCCTGGAACAGCTGATCGGTCCCGAAATCTCACTTATATCCAACTTTGTATTGCACTCACAAAGTCAGATAGAGGTGAGATTTCAGGACAGATCTGCCAGGGAACAACTGAGAGCTTTGAGTTCTACACCTTTTGCTGGTCACACATTTTTACCCCGGAAAAAATGGGCGTGACTGCGTTAGAATGTGTGACCACGTCACCGGTCTCGCATTCTAACGCAGTCACAATCTGTGATCGAACACTGTATCCTCCTGTGAGCGTGTGACCTGATTTCAGCATGCGAGCTGAGACTCCGAAGAAAGTATGAGGCTGGTGAATCTCCTCACAAGCAGCTCACCCCACACGCCCTCTTTGGAAAGCCAGGAGGAGAGAAATCAAAGAACACATATTAGTGTGGGAGAGCTGAAGAAATCCAAGCTCCCTGCAGTCTAGAGGGGAGGATGTGTGGGCGGAGACTGAAGAGGCAGAATCAGAAGACACGCCCTCAGCATGTTGTAATCCTTCACATGAATTAGCACAGAGGGTGGCTATTTTTCAGCTCCCATAGGGACCATGGCGAAGAAAAGTAGCCACCCTCTGGCAGGAAGTTGTGAATGAAGAAGAATAAAACAGATTTTGGAGCATTTAGAGCTGAACAATGACAAAAAAGGTACACAGTCATTGATTATATAATAGAAATGATAATTTGTATTTAATTTTTTAGTTGTCGCTTTAAATATATTTTCATCTACTGTATGTAGGCATTTATTGAATTTGTTTCTCTACATGAACATCACGGTTACTTGAACATATTTGTAGAGTTATTTTGCACTTAGTGTGGATAAGTCTCCTGATTTCTCTCAGTCGTACAGTGATCTCCTCTCCACATCTCCACAGTAATGCAGGTAAATAGCATTTACCATGTTAGAGTGGAGCTCTGCCCCTCGTAATCACTGGATCTCAAGTATAGGGCCCAGATATATCCTACTGTATTGTAGCTTTGTCTTTCCTGTGGGGAGTTTACTACTCCCCATAAAACCACGGTGTATGTAACCACCTACTTGTTAGGTATATGTAGGAAAAGGGAGGCTGCTGATGTTTTTGCTGCTTTTCAGTTAGTTCAATTCCCCCAGGCTGCTTATTGGACAGTGCAAGTTCAACACATTGCAGTCATACATGTAGACGCATCACCTAGTGCTTGAGAGCACTAGCACTGTGCAATCCTACACATATACTAGCTTTATCTGACTTTCCATACATACCTTACTGGTTTATTTAAATAACCGGCTCCCAGTTCCATAACATCCTTTTTGTGAACTGGTGCCCAAAACTGCATATTCCAGACGAGGTCTTACTAATGCTTTGTACAGGGGCAAGATTCTCATTAATTCTCTCTCTCTCCCCCCTCCCCCACCCCCCCTCTGCGGCTTGGCATTGCATGCTATTATTGAGTCTATGATCTACCAGAACACCCAGATCTTTCTCCATCATTGACTCCCCCAAACATACCCCCCTAGAGTGTATGACGCATGCATGCTTTTAGTCCCTGAGTGCATAACTATACATTTATCAACATTAAACCTCATTTGCCAAATAGATGCCCAATCACACAGTGCCTTCAGATCTGCTTGTAAATTGAAGACATCCCGTAAAGCAGGGGTGCCCATTAGGTAGACCGTGATCTACCAGTAGCTCTCAAAGCTGATGCTGGTAGATCACGAAGGGTGTGAATGGCGCCCCCTTTATTCCATTTTGATATATTTATTTAGCTGTGTACACATGATTACCTATTAGCCTGAGTCTGCTGAGCCAAGCTCCCTGACACCTTTCTGATGGATACTGGGTGTTGAAGTGCTATGTATTACATCAAAGAATATTAGCTTACACAGCCTGTTGCACTACACTGTTTGCAAAATACAGCAAGGTGAGCCAGAAAAGAGAGGAAAGACAGACAGGGGAGAGACAGCCAGGCGAAAAAACGAGGAAAGACAGCCAGGAGAGAGAGCGAGCGAGGAAAGACAGCCAGGAGAGAGAGCGAGCGAGGAAAGACAGCCAGGAGAGAGAGCGAGCGAGGAAAGACAGCCAGGAGAGAGAGCGAGCGAGGAAAGACAGCCAGGAGAGAGCGCGAGCAAGGAAAGACAGCCAGGAGAGAGAGTGAGCGAGGAGAAACAGCCAGGGGAGAGAGCAAAGAGAGACAGCTAGGAGAGAGAGCGAAAGAGTTTTTTTTTTTTTTGGTAGATC